AAAACGTTTACAAAATATCTGGCTGGTATTTAAAAAATGCTGCACATTTTTACTGCTTACACTTCCTTTAGTTACCACTCACACTACTTTTACAGTTGTCAATGCGGGAGGGCAAATTTGGGTGTAACCTTCCTGAAAACGTTTCCACGAATTTGAATTAAAGTGCTGTGAAATGCAACGAGTGGATACAACTGATTAGGAATGGGTATTGTTTGGGCATGAGCCGGTACCATAGCCAGTACCATAGCGAGTACGCATGAGCCGGTACCATAGCCAGTACCATAGCGAGTACGCATGAGCCGGTACCATGGCAGCGGGTGGTTATAGGGAATGTCACCCGTGAAGACCTCTCGCGTCAGAAGGTGTGAGGGGCACATTCGGGCGGTGCTTCTTGTGTGCTAGTATATCCATCGTCATGTGTTATGGCATTCTGGGATGGACTGAATGGCGCTTGGCTTTTAGCCACGCACGCGACACGATCCGAATTATATCCTTGTGATTGCTGAGTTTGAACCAGGGTCTCTTGACTGCGAGTCCAGCACGCTGCCAACTGAGCTAACCGGCGAGGGGTCGTCTCGGGTGGAAGTCCGAAAATTGTTCCTTCTGTGACACAGCTGTGTGTCAGGACGTGTGAGAGAGCCCAGCCACCCTCGCCGGGCTGGCAGTCTGTCGTTGCTCTGCACGGCTGCCGGCCATAGCCCGCAGAGCCGACCGAGGTGACAGCATCGACACGGGATTCAGACGTTTTGCCCAAGGCCGGCCGGGCCATTAGCGCTCCAGTCGGGAGCAACGAGCCGGCCTGCACGGAGCGGCCTGACACGGCCAAGGCCGGCGCGGCCCGTCCCGTGGTCCGGCCCCCTCCCACCCGCCGCGCGACGCCGGCCTCGGCGGCCGCTCGGTCCGCAGAGCCGCGGCCGCGACGCGGCAGGGCGCTCCGCGCTGGGACGCGGCGGGCGGACCGGACAGGTATTCACGCTCGCCGGCGTCCAACGTCTCTTCGGTTACCATAAAGCCCGGACCATACTACTACAGTTCCAGCTGATTGTCAAGACTAGTTGTTGCGAATTTTGAACGTCTTTACATACATGCTCTCGCTTCTGCCGATATCTCTGTTCTCTGTAGGCCTCTTTATCTCCATTCCATTTCCTCCATCATGTGTCATTCCCGCACTCTTCTGCTCTCTCCTCTTTCCGTGTGACTGTCCTTGCTTGTGTCTGTCTGTGTCTGTCCTTCCTTCTGAGTATTATTCTGTCTCTGTCTCTGTCTCTGTCTCTGCGCCTGTCTCCGTATCTGCCTCTCTGTCTTTGTCTCTGCGTCTCTGTCTGTGTGTTCGTCTCTGTGTCTGTCTCTGTGTCTGTCTCTGTGTCTGTCTCTGTGTCTCTTTGTCTCCTGTCTCCCTGTCTCCCTGTCTCTGTCTCTGTCTCTCTTCTCTGACTCTGTCTCTGTCTCTGTCTCTGTCTATGTCTATGCCTCTGTCTCTGTCTCTGTCTCTGTTCTGCTCTGCCTCTGCTCTGCCTCTGCCTCTGCCTCTGCCTCTCTCTCTTTTCTTTCTCTTTCTCTCTCTCCCTCTCTCTCTCTCCCCTCTCTCTCTCTCTCCTGCTTTCTCTTTCTCTTCTCTTTTTCTTCATCTCTCACTCTCTCTCTCCTCTCTCTCCCCCCTCTCTTCTCTCTCTCTTCTTCTCTCTCTCTCTCTCTCTCTCTCTCTCTCTTCTCTCTCCCTCTCTCTCTCTTCTTCCTCTCTCTCTCTCTCTCCTCTCTCTCTCATCTCTCTCTCTCTCTCTCTCTCTCCTCTCTCTCTCTCTCTACTCCTCTTCTCTCTCTCTCTCTTCTCTCTCTCTCCGCCCCCCTCTCACTCTCTCTCGTCCCCTGGAGTTTGGCTATAATAACCGGTCCCGGAGCGCCGCAAGAACCCTGTGCGATGATGATATTGCAACGATTCTCATTTGGTAAGGCTGTAAATTGCATCAATTTATCTCCATTAGTTATTAAAGTGTCGGATCCGCACATGGCGGTTGCAGCTCGGCCGTATACCTGCCGTGGGCTGCTGGGGCTGGCGGCCCCGCCGCCGCTGCCCGGCTCTCTCTGCCGGCAGATGCGGGCGGCCTGGGTGCAGCCGGCGCCGCCGCCGCGCTCGCCAGGTGCAGCCAGGGCGCGCCCCGGTCGCCATCCCCTCTGACGTGTGCCACTCTGCGATACGAGGGAGCGGGGAGAGCGCTGGAATGGATGCTGCTGAGCGCTGGAACCGATGCGAGAGGAGCACTGGGACATGCGGCTTGATGGGGCCGATGGCCCCAGACTGCTGATTGACTTAATGCAGATGAACTGATAACACTGTTCATTACATGAGGCCTCCGTTTGTCTGTGAAGTTAGCCGTTTAGGGTAAGGAAAGCTCACACGCAAAAGAATGTGCGGCCTGTAAAACAATGTTATTCCTCGGCTGTTTTCACTACGAAATGATCAGGCATGACCTTGATAGAGCCAATAACTTTTACTGCTGGTCAAGAGTCTTCAAAAGACGGAGTCAACTTTCATATATTTACTATGACTTATACGCAAAAGAATGTGCGGCCTGTAAAACAATGTTATTCCTCGGCTGTTTTCACTACGAAATGATCAGGCATGACCTTGATAGAGCCAATAACTTTTATTACTGGTCAAGAGTCTTCAAAAGACGGAGTCAACTGTCATATATTTACTTTGACTTATAGCCGCAAATGCATTTCGTAAGCTACGATACGCATACGTATACATACCTATATACGTATATACGTATACATACGCATACGTCTAATAATTTCCCGAGAGAGAATTGTGTTTGCCTGCTTAAAACGAGATATAACCTGTATGCCTTAACCGTCGCCCTGCGGGAGTTTTTTTCACCTACACCCAAAGAGGGATTCGGAGACCCCTAAGATCTTGACAATTACGCAAGCTAGAGCCACGGAGAAGCGGCGTTGGAAAGTTCTCGTCAAACGGCATCAGATGAGCGTGGCTGAACGGTAGTAAACGTAATCTTAAGCAGGTCAAAGGGGTCAACTTAGCACTCTCTAGACCCCTATTATCTCAAGAACTAAGCACGCTGCAGACACCCCTGAGTTGCTCCTGGAAAACACTGTCAGATGGGTACAAGTGGAATTCGACTCATGCGACCCATGATGTGTCATTTTAGGCCCAATTGGATGAATACTTTTGTCGCGTTTGGGCCTGTACGGCTGCATAAATAGCTAAATAATCCACATCAATGAGGAAGAGAGTGTAAGGAAGGTCTTCTCAACATGCTTAGCCTGTGCCCTGATGGTTCAGATGATTGGACTTTCAAATGGTCAAACCTGGTCTCAAAGGACACGATGTCGCCAAGCTTGAGCTTGGATGACTTGAGCTCACAAGAGCCACCAGAACGAATGTAGCATAGTAATACATTTCGAAGTGTGATTGACAGACAAGCAGCTTAGAAACCTTTGGATGCCGTTTCCTGCGGTAAATGAGCGTTCGTTGCCGACTACGAACAAAATGACATCGACATGACCTTGATGATCATAGACCGTCATGATCAAAAACTTGGGTTTCAGGAAACATGTACGAATGGCGTAAACCCGGTCGTCTAAAATCTTTCACCAATGTGCGCATGGCCCCGGGCTCCCACAGTAATTTTGAATTTTAACATTAGGCTTATGGCAATGCATGACAAAATTGCCTCCAAAAGTTGAATTACGTTTAGAACATTCCATCATTTTCGATAAGTGGCGCCTCTATCCCTGCCTTTTCCGAACGATTCGGATGCGTACTTGGCGCGACCGCGGCACTTTGGTGTTCATGCAGGATACTGTGCGCGCTCTGGCGTTCGTGCAGAATACTGTATGCGCTCTACTGTCCGTGCAGGATACTGTGTGCGCTCTACTGTCCGTGCAGGATACTGTGTGCGCTCTAGTGTCCGTGTAGGATACTGTGCGCGCTCTGGCGTCCGTGCAGGATACTGTATGCGCTCTACTGTCCGTGCAGGATACTGTGTGCGCTCTACTGTCCGTGCAGGATACTGTGTGCGCTCTACTGTCCGTGCAGGATACTGTGTGCGCTCTAGTGTCCGTGTAGGATACTGTATACGCCCTGGTGTCCGTGCATGATACTGTATGCGCTCTGGTGTCCGTGCATGATACTGTACGTGCTGTGATGTCCATGCAGGATAATGTATGCGCTCTGGTGTTCGTGTAGGATGCTGTATGCTCTCTGGTGTTCGTGTAGGACGCGGTATGCACTCTGGTGTTCGTGTATAATACTGTATGGGTTATGTACGTGAATAGAACTGTATTTTTTTCAGCGTGGTAGTTTTTGTTTCGGATGATGGGCCGACGTCGCTTTCCGTTCGAGGCAGTCCGGTAGCCTCTTGCCAAAACTGGGCCTGAATTATATTCTACCGAACTGTATCTAGATTGTGAGCATCCGATTCGGGGTGGAAGGTTTTCTAAAATTGGCCTTTAGGATACCAGATTTTCAACTTAAAAGCGGGTTAAAATTGCTGTATCCATTTCAATCTTCAAAGCCCATGCTTATTGCTCTCAGTATGACTTTGTTCAACTGAACTTACTTTGGTTGCATCCATTTGCGGCCGAAACTATTCGTTCAGCACACTACGTAGCTTAACTGCTGTTGTACTTTGGTATGAGAGTGGTAGCATTAGATGGTATGGCGCAGGTGGTGTGAAGGCGTATAGCGTCACAATCCAATAAGAGTGCACCTTTGATTTTCGTTTTTCAGTGCATCGGAATCCTCGCAGACGACAGTTTCGGCGCATGACATGAACTAGGTCACGGCAGTAGCGTCGAAGCGCAGTTGCAGCATATGGCGGCGAATCGGTTAAGGTCTTTCAAGCATCTGTTTTATAATTGACCTGCAGGGCGGCACACTGGTGGGGATCTTTGCACGCGCTCCATGATTAGCGAGTTGTTTGCGTTGCCGATGCCATCCTGACCGCTAATGCCGTGCCTTCTGTGTTGGGCAGCCCAAGAACTAGCCCTCTGAGCTCCTGCCGCACCTGATGATGAACTCCGTGTACCCGCCGAACCACTACGGCTACAGCGGCGGCAGCGGCGGGCCCGGCGGTGGTGGTGGCGGTGGCGGCAGTGGCGCTGGTGGCAACGTCGGCGGTGGCGGAGGCGGCGGCGGCGGGGGTGGGTTCCCCGGCGCGCCGCGGGGCTCCGCCGGCCCGCAGAGTCCTATGCTGAGCGCCGGCAAGATGGCGCTGACGATGAACATGAGCCAGGTGAACATGATGAGCCGGCTGGGCCCTCTGGGAGGCGGTCCGGGCGCTGCCGACGAGAGCGAGCCCAAGGTGTGCGCCGGCTGCGGCCAGCGCATCGTGGAGAAGACGATGCTCCACTCGATGGAGCGCTTCTGGCACGAGGCGTGTCTGCGCTGCACCTGCTGCGGCACCAACCTGGCCGACAGCGCCTCCTGCTTCATCAAGTCAGGCATGATCCTCTGCAAGCCGGACTACGTCAGGTGGGTGGTACGCCGCCAGGCCGCGACGGGACATCCCCGGCTTCCCATCAGTGGCTGGTCGGTGACTTAAGCAGCCGCTTAATACCAACGGAAATTATCCCAATCCTATGACTGCGGCGACCACAGGGTGATGGCTTATGCCGAACGCCTGGTGTCCAGTGGCTAGTACTGGGGTTTGCAAGCACCGGGACTGCGCGGATGGCAGATGCACGCGCACCAAGCACGTGTGTAATGTCCTGGGCACGAACCTGGCGTTGGTGGAGCTTCCCTCGGCTGGACCCAGTCCGCGGACTGACAGCAAATGCAGAGCGATCGCCCTGCCCCGGAACTAAATGCTGATTATAAAATGGTTGAGACTCTGAATTAAGTAGATTAGGTGGGCGTTTGCTAGGGCACGTTTCACGCGTCTTTTGCCGCCGCCCGCCCCGAGTAACTCAGGAACCTATCAACCAGTCGAGGTGACCCAAGCGGCAAAAGATGCTCCTGGATCGTACGATCACGGTGTATGTCCATTTGTTGGCGTTGAAATGACTGATGACGTCACAGTTCAGGTCAAAGAAACAAACTAGATTCGAAAGTTTTTCGAGATACACTCAGATTTCTGCTACGTGAAATATGTACCTTTGCATATGTTCACAGACACCGTCCTATATCAGAGCAAGTTGTGTCGAGAGATTTCCATAGCTTTTTCCTTTAGCTCAGTTGTATGCACCCATGCGCTTTGATGCTGTTAATAGCCCTAAAAATAGATAGATGTGCCGTATCTATAGCGGGCGTTTAACACCTAAACATGCATTGCGGGACAGGGGTGGCCGAAGGGCCAAGATGCGGCACCGCGGGTTTAGAGGTCAGGGCAGCATTTTCAAGCGGGCCCTCTTGACAAACTAAGGCTTTCTCGCAGATGGCGTCCTGAGGGTACTGGCCTGTGTTTGTTCTCAGCTTAGGCTGAAAGAACGCAAGTAGACCTACACAGCATCATTTTTTTCTACTTCTCAAAACTATATATGTCGTTTCTCTCTAACTCGATAACCATTTGCAGTCGACGCGCCCAAAAGCTCCAACTTGGAAAAGAGAACATCGCGAGGGCTGATTTTAGACAGAAATCGCCTTAACATTTCTAATTGTTGTATTGTTAATAAGTCATGCATCGGGAGAGTTATTGTTGAAAGTTAGCGGGCTTATTATTATTGGCTGAACAATAAGCAAACGTTTGGAAACCGTGTGCATATTTTGGTTTAGAATTGTTCCTTGGGTTTTCATTTGTTCTGCAAGCAGCCACGTTCGAGGCTATTGTACGTGTTCCAAGTAGGCGGCCTGGAGCTCTGACCATCTGGTCTTCACTGGCCTCGGCTCACGAAAAGGGAGGAGCCTATTAATGCGCTTGCTTACATCCATATGACGCCGAACGAAATGCTTATTTAACGATTCCAACACGACATAGCTGTTACCGGCATGTGAAGGAAATTAAGATACCATGACAGTTTGTCATGAAATACGGTTCGTGTCATTCCGGCGTGCATGATTCTGTGTGGTTTGAAAAACCTAGGTTTGCTCTTTATAAGCCCAAATAAGGTATGTTTATATTTGGAAAACACGTACTGTTGCAGCACATATATGAAAATTTGAGAAGTTGGTTTTATGCCTATGGTTAAACACCGCCGCTATCGGGGTACGTTTTTAGCATGGTGTAAAGAGGTAGTCTCTGCTTGAAAACACTCGTTTTGAAACATGTCATGCAACAGACTAGTCCATTCGCTGTTTTGCAAGAAGAAGTGCTTGGACAAGCTTCATTGTGAAGTTAAATTACCGCGCGCTTCAATAACTGCGTGAGCTGCATACCCTGTAAGAACCGACCGCAGCAACCTTCCCATTTTTAACGCGACTTAAGAGGTCACCGGTCGACCTAACAGGCCACCAGTCGACCTGAAAGGTCACCAGTCGAGCTGAGACGGCTTAGCAGAGCACCACTGTGACGTCCGCAGCATATCAAAGCCGCACGCTCGAACTACTCCCGTCTGTGTATGTAATATATGCATCGTGCAGCCCAACCACTTGCGCTGTTATGACAATACCCCAACCATTACCACGCGGCCCCCGCCTAAAAGTGGCCTCAGAAAGCTACCAAGCTTTCCAAGTGCTCCATATGACTCATTGTCCTGCCTGGACATTGACCCTGGACCAAACCCTCCAACTGTGCCCTTGGAGCCAAAAAAAATCTTAGAAACTAGTGCATTCGACATACTCCCCTTTGCGGAAACTAGATGGTACTAACAGGCGAGAATGTTTTACTGAAATCGTGGGTCAATATCGGAGGTGTTAAATGACACAACGATACGAAACTCATACAGATGCGGGCCAAATTTCGCTTAAATTTTAGGCTTTGTTTAAATTTTTGCTTCAAATTTGTTTGAATTTAAAAAACAGCAGCCTATACGTAATTAAGTTTCCAAGCTCAGTCGCGGAGGCCTTCTATATCTAAATTTTTGTGTATGTGTAGCTACCAAACATTCGGTTAGGTTTAAAAAAGAGACTCCCAACATTCGGGCGGAGGAGAGCAAAGGACAGTCTTTCTCCCTGTCTACCGACGAGAGGACAACTGCTCACTCTGCTCCCCCGTCCTCCTTCTACGTCGCCTCTCGCATAGTCAAGACGGGTCCATATTGGAAGTATGAGTTCAAGTTCAATGCAAAACACGATGCATGTTTCATAGACCGATTTTGGAGGCATTGAAAAAGTATTTATTGTATGATATCTACAGTTTATAGCCCGTAAATGGTACATTAAATTTGTGTTTTCGAGGAAAACCCAAAACGTAGCCAGTAAATGACACTGCGGTTTTTGTCGCCAAGATACAGTTTCACATAATCATGAGTGCACAGTAAACACACTATCAGGAAACAGCAGCTTTCAGCGTCTGATGGTGTGAAGTTATGTTGTCATATCCTGGGCTGAACTCAGACGAACTTGACCTACTGCGAGCTGATAATGCCAACTGAAGGTGATGAGCTGAGCGAAGTCCGTGAACGCAGCATGCATGAACGTCAGGTGGAATCTGAACCAATTTCGTTAAAGGAAGTGAATTTGGACGCTATTACGACGTGATCTCGGAAGACCTCACATGTTAAACGATAGTGAACAATTACACATAATTAAAACTCTTAAGCCAACTACATCCCTCAAGAAACACCGTCGTAGGTTGGACAGGCCTGAAAGCCAAAACCTATGTTGTCGGTCAATTTAATGATGCATTTTTACTCGACCTAGGATAACCCATGCCCACTGTTCGACAAGATTTGTGCCGAACGCTTCTTAATATATTCCAAAAATATGCGTCCTGCCTGTTTTTATGAAATTATGGTGCAAAATGCCAACGGCGTAGGGGGGTAAAAATATCCCGGGAAGTGGCATACCAACACCGTGCCAATTAACAGCCGCGCCCGCGGCCGTACATCCTCTGGCAGGACGTGTCTGTAGGACACGGTATCCCTGTGGTCCACATTGTCATGTAATGGGCCGTATACAGTGAGCGTCTGTCAGGGAAAAAAAGTCCTACAGTTGGATACCGTTGGTTTTTTTAAAGCACGCGACACGAGGCAGCTGACACACGAACGTTCCTTTTCCCCCAAGCCGCAAATGCGCTGACTTGCCGGCCCATAGCTCTAACATCCCCGTGGCAACGCCGTTTTACGTAATACGCTGTGTTGACGCCTGTTTCTGTGCCAGAAGTGTTTCTCAGTAAAGCATTGTCTTTCTCCTTTGGGGAACCCTCGCTGCACAGAAAATGGCCCCGGCTGTTCTAATGCGTTTACGGCTGATTGGAGTGCTACTCCTTGCGCCATTTTCCCAATTGAGCTCATTGCAGTACACCACTTTACTCGCCCAGTTACCTCCAGCCTACGTTAATATCCAGTCGATATCTTTGACAATGCTGCAGCGCACCAGTGCCATCACAGCTCACCAAGGGTCACCCAGACGGGACCAGATGCGGTTTCGCTAGCGGCGTCTGTAGTCGTGACGGTCTGTGTGTGACTGTGAGCCGCCGCCGGACGCTGCTGAGCCGACGGTGCTCGGCGGCTGGCGCGCCGCCGTTCGCCGCAGCGTGCAGCGCGAGCGTCGCCGATGCCGCGCCCACACAATGAACAGCCGGCGAAATTGGAGGAGGCAGCGACCGACGGCCGCATTTCGCTACCGCCGATAATCCGGTTTGCCTTTTAATGTCCCGAGGGCCCACCGAGTCGGCCGGCCGTATTAGGCCAATTACGGGAATCGCCGGGGATCGCCGTCCGAACACGACGGGCCCCGGTAATTTCCGGCAAATTTGCCGCCGAAATAATGGCAACTGGTGATGGTCTGTGGTGCGGAGTCCGTGTCTATCGCTGTCATCTAGTGGTGCTGCTGCTGTCACGGCAGGCGCGCCGCTGGACCGCCGCTTAGTGCCCGGCCGCCGTCTAATGCTGGGTGTTCGCCCGACGCCGTTCTCGCGGGGATGGCAAGTGTGGGCGGGTTGCGGCTTGCAATCCGCGTCGGCTGACGTGGGCTGAACGCTGGGCTCGGGAAGGTACGCCAGGCGGTGCTAGTCATGCCTGGAAATATTTTGGTTTTGCTACGTTTTTGTTTGCAGACGCAGCCGAGGACAATCGTGGATCACGGACCTTGTATATTAGCTCGTGTAGTATTATTAGAGTAGCTCTTAAACTATGATTCTGTTGGCTCTTAACTTATTAGCCATTACGGCAGTCATAGGGCTGTCGTTGACGTCTTTATTTCAGCAGCAGCGTTTCAAAATCCTTCTGACTCTTTGCGGCATAATATCCCATGCAGCTACGCCAAATTGGAGATGTAGAGGAACTGACAAGCAAACGGCGTCGAAGCTCTGGTTCGGAATGAATTGTTTGTAGCTGTGATCTGGTTTGCTGGTGCCTGGGCTGCGTCTCTCATGCGATTGGCGGCGGTCATGGTCGCTCTCTCGCGCGCAACGCTACTGCTCTGGTGCCTGCCGC